TAAAAAATGCGAAAGTAGTTCCAAGGATGCACTTTTAGGCGTCCTATATGCCCACCGTGGAAAGAAGTACCATGACTTAATTTAATTGTTTTTTGTATTTGTGGTAGACGTAAAAATAATTCTCCTGATTAGAAATTCACAATGTTTCTCCGGTTCTGAATGGATCAAATCCCCGACTAATTCTTCATAACCAGGCTTGAAACACTTGAGATATTCGATAAAATGACGTCAATAGTACAGGCTATCGCCAGAAAAAGGGAGGGGAACAGAGAGGCTATGGAACGAGATTGCGTGAGCTCTGTTGTCTTGGTAGAGCTAGAGAAAATGCCGGGAAATTTCGCACCTTTTGACAAAAAGAAATAGCCAACCTTTCTTCAAAAAGCATAGAAGGAAAAAAAGCGAAAATATATATATATTTAACGGATGACAACTTCTATTAGAAGATCTCGAATATCCGCTAGGCTAGCCTGTTCCAGGCGTTCAAATTGTGGGGATATTTAAGAGATCAGGGGCGGATCCAGGATCCAGGAATTTTTGTGGCAAATTAACACTTTCAGACAGAGACGACCACGTGTTTCTTCAATCTGTGAACGCCGGTCGCCGTTGGCACGGCAAATACGGCTTTGCGAGCAGAGGAGAACAGATCATAGGAGGGTACCCAAAAACAATTACATTTTTTAGTATTCCTGGAATTTAGTTTAGTGGTAGGGGGCGGGGGGTCCGGAGTTCCCTGGACCCTCCCCCTGGATCCGCCACTGGAGATAGAGGAAAGAGAGAGCTCTCCCTCTCCCTCCTAATTTAAACCTCGCTCTCTGACTTCGCACCGTTTTCCACTATCTAAACGCCTCGAACAGGCTACCACTGGGCTAAACATCCTTTTATTATCCTGAATTCACCGATAACGGGCAAATGAAGCGGGCAACTTAAAGTGATTCGGGGGGGTACTCGATCAATATTTGGATATAGGCTGAGGGTTTGAAACCCTGACCCTGTTTAGGATAAAAAAAAGAAAATCCTAAATACATACACAGTTTGGGACAACAGTCTGAATTTTATCACCCTGTTTAGGACAAACGACAAAGTGCACGCCGTCCTGTTTTTTAAGCCATTTATTGGCAATTGCAATGCAGCAAATGCACGTTACAGTCATTGCTTTCGTATAGTTTGAGTGCAAAAAAATTTCATCCTATTTATAATTAGGACAGACTTGCACAAAATCTTATACCCATTAAAAGACAGCGAGGTAAAAAAACTGCCTTGTCCAGTGGCACAAACCTGAATAGGCCATATAAGGGAGTACCCCCAGGACAACCACCACCAGAGCGCCCCGGAGAGCTTGCTCGCAGGCTGGAGTAGCTATTGTTTTCAACCTCTTGGAGAGTAGACCATTGTTTGGATGGACCCCAGGTTTCATTTCGATAGTTAACGAAGCAAATGGCACAGGTAACAGTCACTTGAAACTTGCTTTGTTTAGTCACCGAAAATCCAAAATGTAATGACTAATATATCTTTACGGTGGATCAACTGAATTTGCAACATAGGCATAATTCCGCATAAAGCTGTCGTATATACTGCCCTTTGGAATGCTTTACTGTTTTTAAGCTGCAAGTAAATCCTCCCTTTAGTTTAACGTCTCGTCCACACGAATCCGGATTTTAAAATCTGCGGTTTCAAAATACAAATGTACGTAAAACCTAGTACGTCCCAGGGGAGGGGGTACTCCTGAGAATTCTTGGCGGGGGGCTGCCGCCCGGTTCTCCAAATCCTGACCCTATTTCAGACCAAAAAATGTCATTCTTCACACCCGTTTTCAGACCTGGTCGCTGAAAAATTATGCCATTATTATTACTTAGATTAGAACAGCAACAAAAAGAATTTCTTAACATCCATTTCGAATTCGCATATTTATCTTTCTTTCGATAAACGATAAATATGTTCATACACTCCCGTAGTTCCCTCGAAAACCATACCAGATTCCAGACCAAAATAGGCAAAGTGTATACCCGTTTTCAGACCAAAATGGCGCAAAACCCTCCACCCTTTGGGGCGCCCCCCCCGGGAAGTACGGTGGTTCAGTGCTAAAATTGATATTGGTTTAAAAAATGTCGGGATTCGTCTGGACGCTGCTTTAAGCATAACTTGACCGTATTACACATTATAAGCGTATTGCCATAAGCATTACTATATACACAATATTGGCGTATTGTTAAGACTACTAGACACAGTAGGGAGCTTTAGCAACAACGACGGCGACGGCGACGGCAACGGCAACGGCAACGTCAAAAAAGCAATGGGCTTATTAAGCAAAACAACATCTTTGCAAGTGCATCACACTTTTCTTGTACATTTTTCTGCCGTCTCCGCACGACTACGACGTAACAATGCCTAATTTCACGTTTTATGGAGGACGTAAACAATGGACGACAAATTTTTCTTTCTCTTTCTAAACTTTAGTGCGGTACCCTAGAAATCAACTCCAGGGAAATTCGCCCACGTTTGACATTTCAAGCGAGCTGGAATAAACGCGGAAAAGTTTGTAAAAGCGCGAATTCATTCTTCAAGTGATGTTTTTGCTGCCGTCGCCGTTGTCGGTGCTAAAGCTCCCTATTATCAGAGAGTGTGAGTGCGAGTGCGAGTGTGAGTGCGAGGGGCGGGGAAAGAAAGCCCCCCCCCCCCCCCCCCCCCGTCCGGGGGGAGAAGGGGGGGGCGGCCAACAAAGGAAAAAAGGGGGGGGGGGGGAGAGGGTTCTTTTTTCCCCCCCCCCCCCCCCCCCCCCCTCTCCTTTCTTTTTTTTTCGTTTGTCCCCCAGCCCCTCTAGATTTTTATAATAATAAACTAACTAA